GGTATGTTGAAGAGCCGCAATTTGACGGCTAATATTTACAATAGCTTGAAGAGCCTTAATTTGACGACGAATATCATAGAGTTTTACAGCAGATGGAGAGGTGGTATGCTAAAGAGCCGCAATTTGACGGCTAATATCTGCAATAGCTTGAATGGTAGGGCATGAAGTGGTAGATGACATAACATTGATCGATAATCCTGGTGTATTAGAGGATCGAGACTAAGAGGATCGCTGACTACGGCCAGTTCCTAAGGAACGTAACTCAGGATGAAACTGGAAACATGTCTCAGAGCAGTGTCCCTCCTTCTTGCAATAGGTGCAAAAGAGCTTAGACCGAGCCTGAGAAGTAGGTGCCAGTAAAGAGGCCATAATAACAGTAATTCAAAGTTCAAGATAATAATCCTTAAAAGAAACCCGAAGGTTAATGTAGAAACCCGAAGGTTAAAATGTAAGAACCGAAGGTTAAATTTGAACCCAAATGTTATACATAACTGTCAAATCTGAGAAAAAAAAGCAACCGGCGACCAAGGTGACCCGAAGATCGGCCGGATGTGATGCTCACGCCAGAGACCTACAACGGATTAATGTCGATGTTGAGACGTTGAGACGTCGAGATGGATTGAAACAGCGATGTCGTTATTAACTGTGAAACGACAATACCGTTTGTTTGAGGCCGAAAGACGGCTTGAAATGACGATGCCGTTAATTTGAGACCGAGAGACTGTCTTGAAACGATGATGCCAAAAAATTAAGATCGAGAAACGATCTTAAATATGAGAACGCGAAACACGTTAAGAGGCCGCAAAGCGGCAAGACCAAAAATCTGGCAAATGAACGCAAAAAAGGCGTTAAACGGCTGCAAAGCAGCAAGACTAATATTTGGCAAAAGAACGCAGAAGCGTTAAAAAATTTATTGGAAGGGAAATAATAACCCTAGCTCTGATACCATGTTAAAGTAAGAGAGAGAGTCTTGGGTAAATTTTCCTTGAGTTGAATATTGAGTGTGCACATATATTTATACAAGTAGAGGAGGGTGAGGTGTGTTCTCACAACCAATGTGTGACTGCAAACCCACTACTAACACTATTATCAACATATCACAAACTAAATCAAATTCAATCTTTTAGAATAGGGGCACATAGACTCAAATATATTCACCTCTGTTTAAAACAAACAAAAAGGTATTTAAAATGAAAAATATACTTATGTATACTGTGTATCTTACTTCATGAGGTCTCGACTAAGTTAGCTCTAGATATAAGTTTTACAGAAAAGTATGTGAAAAATATTTGAACATTTTTTTTTTATAATGGTGCAAACTTAGAAATACCTTTGAGGCAGATTTAGGTAGCAAAACTGCAGAAGCAAGATGGAAGATCACCTCACATCCCATAATTCAAAGCTGCCCTCTTCCATGAGATCAGCCCTCACCAGATGAAGCTCTCCTTCTCTCCTTCTAACTCCCAAAGACGTCCGGTTTTCTTATGATCTGCTATATAAATCAAACAACACCGTTATTTTCAAGTGAATGATAAAATATGAGAACCATAAAGTTAGTAGTTTAGAGACCTGGATCTCTAACAGTTCCTTCTACTTGGTATCTAACTCCAGTAGCCTCTTAACTATCCAAGATCCAACGAAGCCATCAGCATCTGTAACACTTACTTTGCCTTTAATGCCCGGTGACTTGTTTCGATCCTGACAGCTGATAATGGGGAAAAAATTCCTTTTGTATATTACTATATGCTAGAACTTGGTTTAAACCTAGATATCAAGCTCTCAAGGGATTAGTTCATTTTGAAGGGTTCTCATACTAATAGTCGGGTTACATTTGATTCGGGTTTTACCTATTATTAGAAACCCGGTTATGAAGCTCCAAAAATAACGCACCATGCATTATTGCACATAGGTAGCCAAGCATATGCTATTATTTTTTCAACTGTAAGTGATCCAGCTCAATAATTGAGAAGGTAGTATTGCACCCGGGCGGTTGATTTCCAACTCGTTCTCTGCTGAGCTTTATTGCTTAGTGCTAGTGTTGGATTTTTTGTGATTTGGTTTGGTCTGGAGTTGATTGCTTCTTTGTTTCTGTTGGTATTTTATTTCATAGAAAAGAACTGCACCTGTGGACCTAAAATGGTTGGATAGTGAATGTGTTATGAGATCAGATGCCAGAAAAGGGAAACTTCATGGTCTATCTCTCTTTCTATTGGTCTTGTATTTTCGTTATTAGTAGTATGTGAAAAATAATCTGGCATTATTTTATTGTGCATCATAAGTTAGATTAGTTAAAGTATAAACTTACACTATAGATCAGAAGCAGCTTAATTGCACCTTAACCTTGATATTTGGTTTTAAATAAATTGTTTCTATCAACGGAAAACTTCTAGTGTTACTTTAAATGGACAAGTTGTTCTTAGTTTCAGTTGTGAATGCAATATGAACCATATAATTAAGTCCTGTAGAAATCATCCGTGAGGCTTACTTCATTGCTCTTCTAATAATGGAAAATGTAATATATCAGTTCCAAAATTAGACTATTGTCCATATCCCCAACAATGTTTAACTCAGAAAAGGATTTTGTTTTCTCATTGTTCACTTACCACCTCTCTTTCTCTCTTACCCTTTTCTCTTTACCTTCAAATATCCTAAATCTCGAATGTGGAGGAGCCTTGGCATCGATTTCAGTTAGGTGAATTTCTTCGTTTAGTCACATCTCTTTTTTGTTGATGATGTTGTTGTTGTTGTTGTCCTCTTGACTTTAAAAATATCTATGAATTTCTATGAATTTTTGACTGCTTACTATTTTTGGATTTCAATAGATAAGGGGCGTTTGGTGACTGAATTCTGCTTCTGAAATTATAATTGAAAATTGTTAGTGCTTCTTTACTGAGAAAACACAGGTTCTGTAAATGAAAGCAAGTCTAAATTAACCAAATCATAACATTAATGCTATATAGTACGCTTAAGCTATGCGTTGATGTTGATCGTTTTCTGTTGCTTTCTGAAGTCAAGGTTTGTCCGTTTTGTGTTGGTTAGGGATCACTTTAACTAGACAGGGAGGGCGAAGAGCATTGCGATTTATAGATTTTGTTAGTTACCTTTTTGATACAAATTCTGAGACTTAAATCCAGCACTTGCAAGTTCCTTAAGCCTTAGGCCTAAAACTGAATATTTAAGCCTAAATTAAAATTATCGTATATGTGGCTCATTCCCAAAAGATTAGATATATAAGACAAGGTTTGAATACGATTTCCTATTGAAGTCATAAACCTAAGGAAAACAGGATTCTATGTTGTTACTTGGTAGTATTGAGAGAAATGGTGTCAAGAAGAGAAGGTTTTTGGTTATGCCATTATGGTAAGATTAAATGAGTATAACCCTGGGGTTTCATCTTGCATGCATATATTTTGTTCTAACTAAAATATTGCATGCTGCTAAATCTTGCAAAATGTTAATGAGAAATTGCAATAGCCTATTTAAAAGCTCAAAAATATTCCATGTCTCTGTAAAATTATGATCCTTGTCACTATGGATTGTTGGCTTGTGAGCCTTTTCTAGTTCTTTTCTGAGCATATAATCGCTCTTTATTATCGATTTCTTTTTCTTATTACCTACCAAAATGTGGTAGCCTTGAGTAGGATTTTTGGCTTCTCTATTATAGTTTAGACTTGCATAATTCATACGACCATATATACCATAGGAGATGGTAAAGGTTTAGACTATTCTGTTGCGTATTATATTGGTCTCCTAAGCATCTAGATTAAACCCTGTAGAAACTGACTGATACCATTGATATTTATTATAACTGATACAGGTTGATATTAGCTAATATGATCACTAGCTGAAAAGAACCAAGGCTGGAAAGCTACTATTATAGTGAACAAAAGAAATCAACATAGGAAACTCGTAAATGATAGAAAAGAGTAAACGTCCCAGTTATATTCGATAATTTCAATAAAAGACCACTGAAACTCCTGAAACCTGCGAAACAGACTCTAGACCAATAAAATATACCAATACCAGAAATTTAAACAATCATATGGATCTAAAACATACTAGGAAGGATGAATCAGGTAAGTTGCGAGCTTGTTAGGTTTAATAAAGTAAAATGTAAGTTCTTTTACCATGAAGAAAAAAAAGCATGCTAACTAGTCATGATTCTCTTAACAAGATGGCTGCAACGCTGAATCTGTGCAACAAGAAATCATGATCTACAAAATATGGACTCGTTTAAATTATTGAATTATTTTGTATGCTATTTCTGTTGTTTCAATATGAAAATGGCTAACTTATTATGATGTTTGTCCATCAATTAACATGAAAGCAAGTCAGACTAGTATTGAAGTTGAGTATCAGATAAATTTACTGAGGTTGGTCCTCTCCTGAGATTTGAAGGTGTTAGGCCAATTCCTTGGTGCTCTTATCTGAAAAAGCTTATAAAAGTCAAGCCTGGTTTTATTTATTTATTTATTTATTTGTTGTTGTTGTTGTTGTTGTTATTTGAATTTGAATCCTTTAATCTATCCTCTTTTTTCGATCAATCCATGTGTCAATCTTAACTGTTCACAATTGAATGCAACTAACAATAAATCCCCTGTGCAGTGTGCTTGTTTCTTTTTGTGCATTCAGAAAGAGTCACGATTGTCTGCAAAGTAAAGAACGGTGTCAAGAGTAAAGTTGAGTGCATTGCAGTCCATGGTTGTTCTTTTGCAACCTAAGGCGCCCTTTAACATATTCTTCCTACTTGAAAACTGAATATTCACTCAGTTGGGCATCTTGAAATTATCCCCAATACTACTTTTGTAGCTAATTTCAAAGCATTACAAATACTATGCAGGAGCAGGTTTATACATAGAGGAGGAAATAATTCTACAATATACTTTTTTGGTGGTCCATGTAGCTTTATCAGAAACACGTTTCATTTTTTTATTGCACTCTTCTCCTAGTGAGACACTCTTTGTAGCTTTCTCTACACGCTAAGACTCCTTTGCCGCATATAGTAATATAACGACTCTTCAAGATTCCAGGAGATACAAAACATAATAGCTAACAGTGGAAATGAGTTCTCAGCTACCTTTGCTGGTGAAGACCTTGGTTTGACGATGAAGCTGCTTCATGTCAAAACATTTTATTTAGTTCTAAACCGGATCCAAATTTTATCTTCTATATAGGCACACTGTGAAGCACTATGGTTTCAACCGTCATGCCAGGCCCAAAACCCAGCAACACACCCCATTCAAGTCCCTCCCCAGTTGTTGCTAGCCCCTCCGCCAAAGACCTCTTCCTCATCTCATCCAGTATGTAGAGCACACAGGCACTGATCATGTTCCCGTATTCCCATAACACATGTCGTGTTGCTCGAAACTTTTCAGGATGAAGGTTCAACTTCGCCTCCACTTCATCCAGTATTGCCCGACCACCTGGGTGTGGAATCCAGAACAGCGAGTTCCAATCGGAGGGTAACCCCACGGGCTCAAAAGCATCAGTTAGGCACTGCTCTATATTGTTTGCTATCAGGTCAGGGCTGTCCTTGGTCAGGTGGAAAGTTAGGCCTTCCTCCCTGAGGTGAAGTTGGATCACCCCTTCACTATCAGGAATTATCCTTTGTTTCACTGATACAATCTCGAATATAGGTTTCTCAACACCTTTTATCGGGTCTGAACCGACAATCAACGCTGCCGCCCCATCCCCGAACAACGAGTTTCCTATGCCATTATCGATATGGGTCTCGTTGGGACCGCGGATACCAATTATAGTCAGCTCTGCACACACGACAAGTACTCTTGCACCCCGGTTGTTTTCAGCCAAGTCCTTTGCATAACGGAGAACAGTGCCACCAGCATAGCAGCCTTGCATGTAGACCATGTAACGGTTGATGTTGAGATTCAAGCCAAGGAGTTTGACGAGTTGGAAGTCAGCGCCTGGCATGTCAACACCACAGGAGGTGCACATTATTACGTGGGTAATTAGAGATTTATCCCTTCCCCATTCTTCTAGTGCTTTGAGTGCCGCTTGTTTGCCAAGCTTCGGTACTTCAGGCACACAAATGTCCTGGCGGTCATTGAGGGATGGTGCACTGAACGAACATATGTTTGGATACTTCTTTAAGAACTCCTCGTTGTGGTAGAAATACCGCTTTTTAATCATTGTTTTTCTGCCTGTAACCTCAATCATTATGTGTTAGCAAGAATGGAATAAATACTATACCTTTGGACTGAGAGACAATAAATTAAAAGATAGAGGAGGGAGTTCTCACAAATGCGGTCAAACTTGTTCTTTAGATCGACCTTGTCCTCACTGTTAGTTACCCGAAAATAGAAGTCCGCGAAGTTGTTCTGTTCAATGGCGTGGGGAGGATGTGATGTTCCAATGGCCATGATGGTTGCCATTCCATCAGCTCTTTGTGCCTTACGGATATTTTCAACATTCTCCATCATTGATGTTGCAGCCATCTTCGAGTATGTTTTGCCTTTCAATGCCTTGATATTATGCTTGTATATATACCCACAGAAATCAGTAGAATTGGTTGCACTATGTATACTTTGAGGCAGATATTGTGGAAAGCTGAACAAGTTAGATGTTCTGTTTTTATGTCGATAAAAGTCAGATGTGGTAGTTGGAATGGTTTCCTCATTGTCCTGTATGAAGTTCTTAAATTTTCTTTGTGCTGACAATCCAAACTGTGTTGGATGCTCAAAGAAATATATAGCTCTGATAGGTGGTTATGTATCACTTAAAGAACTAAAGTACAAGGTATTTAGTATTTATTGGTATGGCATTATACGTGCAATTAAGCATACGTATAGCTATCTAAAGTTGCTAATACCTCAACTATATCAACAGTTGCAATTTTCAGAAACAGTCTATTTCTTTGTACTTACTTGTTCTTTTCCTTAATTTGCATTTATTTGGTTAGAGCACTAAGGTTTATACCCTAGGGAAGAAGAACCTAATTGCTATGACCATCGTCTAGGATTTTTGTTACATCAAAATTTTACAGGACTGAACTGGTAAGTTCCAGCTTTTGTTCATTCTGCAGGAGTGAAGCCAAGAGATCTTGTTAAAATTCAAAAAACCAATAGAAGTAACTGTTCTGACTGTATTTAGCCTAAACACTAAATTACTCTTGAAGCCAACTACTTCGCTGTGAAGCCAAATTCACCTATTCATATACAGTATGAGTATCTGTTCTAAGTACAGTTTTGTTCCTGCAGGTATTCTTCTGTTGTGAGGTAGGACAGTGAGTTACGGTTGTTCAAGTCAGAGATTACAATGACATGTTCACTATCAGAGGTTTGTTCTCTTTCATCTATTGAAAGGGTTTTTATTTCCTCCTCTTTATTTGTCCTCTCCTCTTTGATAGTAGAACTCCAGTATACTAGTTCAGAATGCTGGTTGAGGGGTCTTAATCAGTGTGATCTGTAGATAGTTTGGAATTTTAAACTCGCTAATTTACAGGAAATCTTGTTTGTAGTCCATCATTAATCTTTAGCTGACTTCTGATAACCTTGATATCTGCCTTTAGATATCATACACGCAACATGAAAGCTTACTCTGATTCTTTTTATTATTCCACGTCCGTAATTTTGATTGTGATTTGCAGACATGTTATAGCTACTGCTTTCAACTTCGTAGACCGAATATTTTCAGATTCACTCTTTTGGATGGAACTGTAAGATTATAGCTGTTGATGGTTGAAGTTCTGATCCTCCAATATCTGCTTCATTCGTAATGCTCTGAACCTAATCCTCCAATTCATTCAGTGTTAGTCAAAAGCAGCGACCGCCCAAAGAAAAATGAGGCAAACTTTTAACAAAGCACCGAAAGAAGAAATGGGCGGGCCCCAGAGCAAGAAAAAACACGTAGACGGGCTCCACCACTAATAAAATATTAGTGCGTAGTGTTTTTTCCAAACACTATAAATAGGCCCCAAACTCTTAAGGAAAAGCTCATCCTAGAAACAATTCCTCTTATAAAAGAATAAGAGAGAAAAAAGAAAGGCTTAGAGAAAAGCCATTGTGAGAGAAAATTGTGAGCAATTTTTAGAGTGCTTGTAATATTTCTTCCATTAGTGAAAGATCTGCAGCAGCCCGTGGACGTAGACAATTTTGTACCGAACCACGTAAATCTTGTATCCTCTTATTGCGTATTTATTCGCTTTCTTGTAAATCTGGTTATAAGGGAATTTGGCGTAGATTCCTAACAACTGGTATCAAAGCTCTAGTTGTGAAATCTGTCAATTTTCTATGAGATTACTATTCATGTGAATAGTAAATTTCATGAATAGTAAAATTTTACTGTCGGTACCGACTTGTCGGCAGAGGTGTCTTAATACATGGTGGTTCGCAGAAATTGTCAGAAACGATCCAGAGGAAGTCAGATTCGAGTGGGAACAATGACTGCAGACGAAGGAAAGGTAAAAATTGAGAAGTTTGATGGTGCGGACTTCGGCTTTTGGAAGATGCAGATAGAAGATTATTTGTATCAGAAGAAGCTGTATCAACCTCTCTCAGGAAAAAAGCCGGATGACATGAAGGATGAAGAGTGGGCTCTCCTTGACAGACAAGCCATTGGAGTTATCTGATTGACGTTATCTTGTAACGTTGCTTTCAACATAGCAAAGGAAAAGATCACGGCGGGTCTTATGGTGGCTCTCTGTAGCATGTATGAAAAGCCCTCCGCCTCAAACAAAGTTTACTTGATGAGGCGGCTGTTTAATTTGCGAATGACGGAAGGCGCATCAGTAGCTCAACATCTTAATGAACTCAACATAGTCACAACCCAATTGAGTTCAGTTAGGATTGAGTTTGATGAGGAAGTTCGAGCATTGATCCTTTTGTCTTCCCTACCAGAAAGCTGGAACGCTACAGTCACGACTGTGAGTAGCTCATCGGGAAGCAACAAGTTGAAGTTCGATGACGTTCATGATCTGGTTCTTAGTGAAAAAATTCGGCGGAGAGAATCGGGTGAAGTTTACACACGGAGTCTAGGGAAAGAACTTCAGAAAGAAGTTCAAATCACGACAGATCAAAATCTAGAAGGAGCAAATCTAGATCGGCAAAGAAAGATTTCAATTGCTACAATTGTGGCAAGAAAGGTCATTTCAAGAGGGAGTGTCGGGCATTGAAGAAAAATATCGACGCACAGAAGTCTACCAACGTGATCGAAGAAGGAGGTAATGCTATGGTTCTAAGCGTCAACAGTCTAATTGAATCATGGATTCTTGATTTAGGGGCATCCTTCCATTCTACTCCATGCCGAGAAATCATGGAGAACTATGTTAGCGATGATTTCAGAAAGGTACATCTAGCAGATGATGAAACATTAAAGATTGTTGGCAAGGGAGACATCCAATTAAAATTGCCAAATCATACCACATGGAAGTTGCAAGGAGTGAGACATATTACTGGCCTTAGAAGGAATTTGATCTCTATGGGAAAACTTGATGGAGAGGGTTACTGCACAACATTCTCAGGTCATGAATGAAAGATTACCAAAGGAGCACTCGTCATTGCTCGAGGTAAGAAAAGTGGTACTCTTCTCAGGTCATGAATGAAAGATTACCAAAGGAGCACTCGTCATTGCTCGAGGTAAGAAAAGTGGTACTCTCTATGTAACCTCTAACCACTCGTCATTGCTCGAGGTAAGAAAAGTGGTACTCTCTATGTAACCTCTAACCTAGAGAATATTATTGCGGTAACAGATGCAGATGAAAAATCAAACCTATGGCACCAAAAGCTTGGCCATATGAGTGAGAAAGGGATGAAGACACTTCTGTCAAAAGGGAAGTTGCCGGATCTGAAGAATGTGGATGTTAGCCTATGCGAGGATTGCATCTTTGACAAACAGAAGAAAGTCAGTTTTGCAAAGATTTGCAAGACACCAAGGCAACAAAGTTAGAGTTGGTTCATACCGACGTGTGGGGGGGCCATGTCCAGTTTCATCTCTTGCAGATTCACTGTACTATGTCACCTTCATTGATGATTCTACAAGGAAGGCGTGTGTCTATTTTCTGAAGAAAAAAGCAGAAGTCTTTAATACCTTCAGAAAATAGAAGGCCATGGTGGAAAATAAAACTAGTTTGAAGATAAAGCGGTTGAGGTCAGACAATGGAGGAGAGTACAACGACAGTAGATTCAAAAAAATTTGTACAAACAATGGGATCAAGATGGAGAAAATTGTTCCCATGACACCGCAACAGAATGGCGTAGCGGAACGCATGAACAGAACTTTGAATGAACGTGCCTGAAGCATGAGGATACATGCAGGCTTGCCCAAGTTCCTATAGGCTGAAGCTATCAATACCGTAGCCTACCTAATCAACCGTAGGCCCTCAGTTCTCTTGGATGATGGAATACCGGAAGAAGCTTGGAGCAGAAAAGAGGTAAACCTTTCGCATTTAAGAATTTCTGATTGTATCTCTTATGTACACATAGATTCTGCTGAAAGAAGTAAACTTGATGCCAAATCTAACAAATGTATTTTTGTTGGTTATGGTGGTGATAAGTTCGGTTACCGGTTTTGGGATTATGAAAATCGGAAGATCATCAGAAGCAGAGATGTCTTATTCAATGAGAATGTGATGTACAAAGACAGATCAATTACAGAATCAAGTAGCTCCAGTACAAAAGTTGAAACAAAGGAATTTGCTGAATTTGAGGAGATTTCTGAAAATGATGTTCAGACTAGTCCTGAAGTAGTTTAAGAAGAACCAAGCACGCCAGAAGTGAGACGCTCCTCCAGAATTCCTAAGCTAACCCAACGTTATTCGCCTTCTTTGCACTACTTGTTGCTGACTGAAAATGGTGAACCGGAGTGTTATGATGAAACAATGCAGGTGGAGGATTCAGTCAAGTGGAAGTATGCTATGCAAGATGAGATGGACTCGCTCATGTCAAATCAGACGTGAGACTTAGCTGAATTACCACCAGATAAGAAAGCTCTTCATAACAAGTGGATTTACAGGATCAAAGAAGAGCATGATGGGAACAAGCGCTACAAGGCAAGATTGGTTGTCAAAGGCTTTCAGCAAAAGTAAGGTATTGACTACAATGAAATTTTCTCTCCGGTCGTGAAACTGACTACAATCAGACTAGTGTTGAAAATTGTAGTTACTGAGAATTTACATCTTGAGTAGTTAGATGTAAAAACAGTTTTTCTTCATGGTGATTTGGAGGAGGAGATCTATATAAAGCAACCAGAATGCTTCACAAAGGCAGACAAGGAAAATCTAGTATGCCGTTTGAAGAAGAGCTTGTATGGATTAAAACAAGCTCCCAGACAGTGGTACAAGAAGTTTGACAGCTTTATGGACAACAATGGTTTCACTAGATGCCAAACAGATCATTGTTGTTATCTCAAGAGGTTTGACAATAGCTTCATTATTTTATTATTATACATTGATGACATGCTCGTTGTAGATTCAGATCTGCAAGGGATTATAAATTTGAAGCAAAAATTATCAAAGCAGTTCGCAATAAAAGATATTGGCGCCGCAAAGCAGATTCTTGGAATGAGGATCAAGAGAGACATGAAGTCTGGGACTTTGATGTTATCACAGGCTGAGTACATCAACAAAGTACTCTCCAGGTTTAATATGCAAGATGCTAAACCAGTGGGTACACCTTTAGGTGTTCATTTCAGACTTTCCAGAGCGTGCACACATGGCGAAGGTCCCGTACGCCTCAGTAATTGGAAGTCTGATGTATGCCATGGTTTGTACAAGACCAGATATTACTCAAGCAGTGGGAGTTGTTAGCACATACATGAATGATCCGGGCAAGGTACATTGGGAAGCAGTCAAATGGATCATCGGATATCTACGGGGCACCACAGGTAAAACACTTTGTTTCAAAGGTGGAGATACAATACTAACAGGTTATGTGGATGCTGATTTAGCAGGAAATGTTGATATCAGAAAGAGCACTACAGGGTATGTCTATACTCTAGGAGGTACTGCAGTGAGTTGGGTTTCTCAACTGCAGAAGATAGTTTCTCTCTTTAGAACTGAAGCAGAATATGTCGCTGTTACAGAAGCCAGCAAGGAAATGGTTTGGCTTCAAAGTTTCTTGGATGATTTAGGTAAGAAACAAGAAGACAATGTCTTATATTGCGACAGTCAAAGTGCTATTCATCTAGCAAAGAATCCGTCCTTTCATTCCAGAACGAAACACATACAGATGCGATATCATTTTATCTGGTCACTTCTGAAAGATGGAATTTTGAAACTTGAAAAGATCAGTGGAGCTCAAAATCCAGCAGACATACTGACAAAGACAGTGACTATTGACAAACTGAAGTTGTGTTCAGCTTCAGTTGGCCTGCAATAGTATCAAAACCGGAGAAGAGCTGCTGCATAGATCAAGTTGTGAAGACAGATTGAAATCAGTCTTCAAGTGGGAGATTGTTAGTCAAAAGCAGACACCGCCCAAAGAAAAATGAGGCAAACTTTTGACAAAGCACCGAAAGAAGAAATGGGCCGGCCCCAGAGCAAGAAAAAACATGTAGGCGGGCCCATCACTAATAAAATATTAGTGCATAGTGTTTTTTCCAGATACTATAAATAGGCCACAAACTCTTAAGGAAAAACTCATCCCAGGAAAAATTCCTCTTATAGAAGAATAAGAGAGAAAAAAGAAAGGCTTAGAGAAAAGCCCTTGTGAGAGAAAATTGTGAGCAATTTTCAGAGTGCTTGTAATATTTCTTTCATTAGTGAAAGATCTGTAGCAGCCCGTGGACGTAGGCAATTTTGTGCCGAACCACATAAATCTTGCGTGTCCTCTTATTGCGTATTTATTCGCTTTCTCGTAAATCTGGTTATAAGGGAATTTGGCGCGTAGATTCCTAACATTCAGAACCTCACTTTAATAAGAAATATCCACTCCTTGCTTATCTTAATTCAGCAATGCTGGCTCATGGTAGTGGGGGGAAAACCAGTGCAGGTGATATTCATCTCTCCTGGCAAGTACCAAGTATAAATACAAGTTGAGGTCATTGTCAGCATTCATAGTTTTCAGATATTGTTAAACCTATAGGTAACATATAAAACATATTGTTTCTTCTATATAACATTTTCTTGGTCTCCTGGTCATTATATTATTTAAAGAAAAGTTTCGTCAAAATTAACGTAGCTTTATAGCAGTATCAACTCTATTCAACCATTTTCATTTATATTCTGTACAGCTTTATCTGCTGCTTTTGTTACAGTGAAGGAACTAACCAAAATATGGCACTACATGCAATTTTTGGTGGAGTTAAACATAAGCAAAACTAGTTATACTTGGTCAGTTATCGAGACAAATTGTTTAGATGAAAAATTTTGAGCCAAGTCTTGGTGCAAACACTCGTGTGTGTGCATGCATCATTGATCAATGTAAATGTATGTGTGGCAGGTACCACTGACTTCTTGGCATCTTGGTGAGTTAAGAGGATATTGGAGTTAGGATACAATGCCAAAGGAACTGTTAGAAACCCAGGTCTCTAAACTGCTGCAGTTTTTTTCTCATATTTTATCATAGCAGGCTAAAAGCCTAAAACCATGGTATTGTTACATTTAACAGGAGAATACAAGAAAATTGGACATCTCTGGGAGCTTGAAGGAACCAAGGAGAGGCTTTCTTAATCTGAACCATAAGGCATGTTCCATTTGCATCATTTATAGAAGAACATTTTCACGTTTCCTTTTTTTTTAGACAAAAATAATATCTTCAACTAATTAGTCAAGGATACACATTATGTTAGAGATTTATATCAATGAAACTTTTTAATCATAAACAACTAAGCTAATTGACAGGCAAATCCGCAAGTGCACGGACTTGTTGTAACTATCAAGGTCGATCCCATAGGGATTAGGGGTTAATTACAAAATTTCACATTTTTCAACTAGCTAAACCGACGAGTAAAATAGAAGAGATTAAATTTGCGAGATTAAATAAAAGAAATAAAATAAATAGCTAATCAGGTGGAATTCAATATAATGAAGGGCTAGGATTGGGTTTTCACCACAACTTCGATGCTCAATGATGAATTATTTTAATTCTTGGTGTTGGTTTAAACTAGAAATGGTGAATTAGCCTAAATTAATCTAAAGCCTCTTTCAAGGTCTAAAAATCGTGCCTAATTAATCTCAATTAACCTACTTTCGTGGAATCAAGATTAAATTAAACCCATTAAGCTTTATGCTAATCCAAAACAAATCCCCAAAGAATCTAACCTACTTTCGTGGTTCGAGTTCCATGCTTAATTTCTAAAGGTCCGGTATTAATTTTTACCTTTCAGTCCTTCAATTAATTACCTATGATTGCTAATCCGGTGATCAAGCGAATCAACAAACTAAAACACAAGAAATTAAGTTTAAAATTTTAAACTTTCATCAAGAACCTATATTAATTCATCATCAATTACCAAAAAGTTTGGTTCTTTCCCAATCCTAGACAAAGAATCTACTCACACATGATTGGGATAAGAGAATACATCAAATAAATATGCAAATCAATCATAAGAAGAAATTAATAAAAGAGAGGAAAGAATTAACCCGTCTTTCAATTGAAATCTTCAAAATATAGACTTGCAATCTAATCTTGTACAAGAAATTTGTGTCTTTCTTCAATTCTTCAACTCTAAAAATAGATGTTAATTGACGGCTAAGAGACGGCTAAGAGAACAAAACCAAAAGTTCCTAAACCCTAAGCTAAAATACATATTTATAAGTCCCCAAAAAAATTCTGGAAAAAGACAAGGCCCGAACCACGGGTGTGGTGTAATCTGTCTCGCTCATTTTGTGCTTGTTCGTACAGTCTTTGGTATTTTAGCTGTAACTTCTTTGTCCAACCTCGGAAGGAGGTGATTCAAGTTGCGTTGGAAAGCTGTTGAAGAGATCTACAACTTTTATCTTTGGAGCTTTTCCAGATTTGAACTGCATCATGGTCAAAATTCCAGTTCTTCATACTCGTGCATCCATTTCCTTCTCGAGTCATGCATTCCAAATTTCGTTTGTTGCTTTAAACTCTTGTTTAACTTCCAACGATCATCAAATCTTTCATTCTTGAGCCAATACCTGCATATAAGAATACAAAACACAGCAGTATCCTTGATCTAAACACGAAATATGCATCAAACACCCATAAATCATGCTTGAAACACACTAAGATAATGCATATTTTACGTGTTTATCACTAATATATGAGAATGTGACCTGTTGGCCTGTCTGGGGGAAGCTATGAACACTGCCCTAAAACAACCATTGGCGCAGTGGCAAAGGATAACCATGGCAATGCAGTAAAGACCGGACGCCCAGCCCCCCCCCATCGGCAACGGCAGCACACGTTTAACTTATGGTTATTGTGAATGCTGGTTCTCCACAAACAAATAGAGCGAAAATTCCAGTGTTCAGGATTGACATCCCCCTATGCGTATCATGTCCATGCCCCCTAAAGCCACCCTGAGTGTTTTACAATCATGTAACAAAAATCCATTTTTTAAGAAAATTGTTCTCACATCAATTTCAGCACCAGTAAGCATTTTTCTTACTTTAGGTTAATAACATAATAGGTTCTACCTTCAGGGGAAAAAGTCATGGTAAACATTATATATGACCATACTAATACATCAATAGAAGATCCATGAACATAATATGATGGTTATGGTGGTTTGCAATAGCTCACACAAAAAAGTAATCAATTGATTGAGATTTCATTCATTTTTTAATGTAAATTTTCCAGGAACTCGCCCATCTCAGTCTTCTTAACATGAAAATAGAACATCGGTCTACCTTGTTCAGCTTTCCAAGGTATTTAAACCTGTACTGCAGTTAATAGCTACTCACTTCTGTGGATACGTGTTCATTCACATGTTATTGAGGCAGTGAAAGGGAAAACAAACTAACTTGTTCAGCTTTCCAAGATATTTAAACCTGTACTGCAGTTAATGGCTATTCACTTCTGTGGATATGTTTTCATTCACATGTAGCTGAGGCAGTGAAAGGGAAAACATACTAACTTGTTCAGCTTTCCAAGATGTTTAAACCTGTACCGCAGTTAATAGCTACTCACTTCTGTTGATATGTATTCATTCACATGTAACTGATGCAGTGAAAGGGAAAACATACAGGAAGATGGTCGGCATGTTGGCTGCCATCTAGGGATGCATTCGGTCCGGATACGGCTCGGATATGATACTTATCATATACATATCTGCTTACCCATCTCGGATATGGATACGGATACAGATATACCTCGGTAAGCAAAATTCAAATCCATATCTGCTAAAATCGGATACGGCTACGCATATACATGTGGATTTATAAGCGGATATGCGTGCGGATACAAAACGGATATGAGAAAACTAGATAGTATTGAGAAAAACATAGTTCATGCGATACAAAAGAGTTCGTTAATGTGGTCATTATAACTGAAAAGCTAAGATTAGACATCTTCATCATCAAAATTAACTACAAATCCATAATTTAAGAATTAAAATTGTCGTAAGAGTATGACTAATATGTATTCGGATATTTCGGATACGGATCCGGATATTTCACTATAAAACCATGTTTGTAACCATGTCCTATCAGTTATAGATTTGAGTAACCATATTCGTATCCTAATGGATACTATTACGAATATTTCCTCGGTTACGGATATGGTTTAGCACCCTATCCCATCAACTTTCGAGCCAGTGGGATTACCTTCTGATGGGAACTTTCTATTTTGGATTCCACACTAAGGTAGTCGGACGATATTGGATGAAGTGGAGGTGAAGCTGAGCTTTTGCCCTGAAAGTTTTGAGCAACCGGGCATGTACTGTCGGAGTATGGGAACATGGTCAGTGCATGCGTGCTCTACATACTTGATGAGACGAGGAGGAGATCTTTGGAGGAGGGGCAGGCAAGACGGGAGAGGGATTCGAATGAGGTGTATTGTTAGGATTTGGGCCTAGCATGACTATTGAGACCATTGTGATTCATAGAGTCCCTATATAAAAGATAAGTTTGAATTAAGTTCAAATCTACAAGTATCGATTGTTTCACTAGAAAAAGAGTACAAGAAGAGAGTGAAACATGTTCGCAACGAAGCCATTGTTAGTCAAATAAGGCTGCACCGAAAAAGTAGCCGCCCCATAAAATAAATGAGCTGCCCCCATTTGTTGACAAATGATGTAAAGAGGCCGGGAATTTTGAAAGAGGGAAGCAAATGACGATGCATTTGTCAAATGGCAGGAAGAAAAAGGAGTACTCAAGCTATAAAACCCTCACCCCTCTTCCCTTAACCCATCATCAAATCAGCTTCTGAATCTTATTTAGTAAGAGAGAAAGAGAGGCTGGAGAAGAGTACTCAGTGAGAAAAATTAAGAGCAATTTTTCAGAGTGAAATTTGGGTTGTAAGTATTTGTGAGTGATTGTAATTTTTTTCCCCTTAGTGAAAGATTTGCAGCAGCCTGTGGACGTAGGCAATTTTGTGCCGAACCACGTTAAATTTGTATCCTCTTATTTGCGCATTTATTTCGCTTTCTCTTAAATCTAGTGTTTGGGAAATCTGAGTAATTTTCTAACAACTGGTATCAGAGCTCCGGTTGTGACGTCTGTTAATTTTTCTGTGAGATTACTATTCACATGAATATTGAATTTCGTGAATAGTAAAATTTTGTCGACGGTACCGACTTGTCGGCAGAGGTGTTTTAATACACGGTGGTGTTTGCGGTGAAAGTTGATTTTATTATTTGGGAACTCATTACAATCATTTATCGACTTACAACAAGTTCAAAAGAGTGAGCCTTTTTATAAGACTTCTCTTACACAAATAAAATAAAAAGATGATAACTTTCTCTTAAAACAAACGCAGATGACGTTTATCATCCGTTGCTTGCGTGGGATCTTTGCCTGTGTCGGGGACACGTTAGTCCGTGGACCATCGCGGATCAGATCCGGTTGACAAAGTGATTATTCAAAGCTCTTACTTCACAAAAGAAGTAATCGCAGAAGTGATAATCTCGACCAAGCGAGATTACGACTCTTCTCGAGATCAAAACCAAGCTTGATCCGGAGGAAAGGGGGAACATGCATCAGATCTCTCGAAATCCACTCTTTTTGCGCAGGAAATCGCTAAGATCTAGCCAACCCTCTCTGAAATTCGTGGCTTTTGGCTCTGTAATTCGACAGCACCTCGCAAGCCCTAGGCTTGTATTTATAGGGCTCGGGATGCGAGGTATTTGGATAAGAATGAATGATTTGACCTTATTCTCAGTTAACAACGGCCTAACCATGTGTAGAGATTCAAGTCAGTTGGGAACCTCTGGAACGAATAAATCCCGTAAAAACCACTTAAAAACCGTCGAAAACGCGTTTAAGGCTCAGGACTGCGCGAGCCACCATTTGGTGGCTCGGGAGCCATTGGCTTTATCCTCGTCTTTTTAACGCGATTTTGGCCGCCAGAGGCTTTTTCGGTTCGTTCGGTGTGGACTTGTTTTGCCATTACACGCATTTCGTCGTTTTGTTGACTTGTACACTTCACTGATTCGCTTTATACGTTTCGTTAACTTGGAGATGGCCGGTGAGAGTACGGGCCACTTGGTTTGCTGTTCCGGTGGCCGATGAGCGTGCGGGCCACTTGGCGGTGGCCGGTGAGCATACGGGCTACTTG